TGAAGGGACGGCTGACAGGGGTAATGACAGAACGTTTGGGGAGATAAGTGTTATTCTTAAGGCGGAAAAGGAGACAAAAGCCTGCTGCCAATCTCCTAACCCAAAGAAATGTTAGTTTGGTTAATTGGCATCTATTTGAGTAAGAAGTACTGGAAAATATCGGATAAAGCCGTTTTTTGTTAAATGTCTTTGGACTCTTCCCATTTTTGAACGGCTAACTTCGTTCATGAACGGCTAACTCTTAAAAAACGTTCGGAAATCCACACGGCTATTGGACATTGCTATGTATTTCCTGTACCTTATTTGTCTTTATTTATTTTCCACCGGCCAAAAATTCATCTTTCCACCAAAAACCTGCGGTAAAGGAAATTTCGTATGCACGTAAAATCATTTTCGAGCATGCCTCACACTCATATAAACAACATTGTGCCTGCCGAACCATGTAAACCAGCGATCGTTTTGTTCGTTCTCAAGGGAGTTCAAAAGAGTTCATGCTCTATCCCATTGTCACTCAACTCAGGCAGCACCAACAGTGATCTCTTTTTACAACCCAGAGCTGCATTGTTGCTGGACGCAGCACCAAAGGTGATGTTTAAAAGGTTGTTGAGTTCGTAAAGACAAAGAGTAAAAGGTATAAGGATACGAAACTTCTCGCAGATTTGCGTTCAGCCAACCCGATAGGCCAAGTTTACTGGATACGAGTTACAGCGTTGATGTGTGGGAGCTTAGGGCTATTGTTAACGCGAAACAGGAAGCATATACCGGCTTCGAGTCTTCTTACCCAACGAATTGACATCTATCCATGTAAGAAATTTCGGGTTCAGAAAGAGAAGATAGTTTACGAGTGAAAACTTTCTGAATCGTTTTTATCTTAGTACGGTCAGTCGCGTTCATAAGGCCAAACAGGGAACAACAGTTTTTCAGGATAGGGAGAACAAACACGCGGTATCATTTTAACTTTTTTTCCGGAAGGAAAAAATTATGTGATATAAACTAACATATCTGCGCGGTCTTGGCATAAATTCGATCCGCATGAGGCGATAATGCTAACTTATTCGTGTAAGTTAGAGCCAAATCCTTCATCGTGTTTCGTTCTAAGAGTGGACTTTATTTGAGGATGCTGGGTCCAGGAAGCTTTGTGGAACCAAAACACATGAAACTACATTTGGATGGAGAAAACTCCGTCGCCAGGTGGCGCTCCAACGTGAGAGTGTAGGCAGGTCTGCGTTTATTTTGTCAACGCAACTACTGATCGTGGTTAGAGTCGGCACACACAGATAGGTAAATATGGTTATTTTCTATAAGGGCAAGTGCACTATAAAATATGCTTCCCAGAAATACCAAACTCCAGCAAACCAGTGTTTTGTTTCAGAATTATCATTATTTTTATACATTTAAGACATGTTGCACGAATTTAGGGTGCAGACTCGGTTGACGTTGTCTTCCATTCTGAGGACCTTCGCGGCCTCTGAGCCTTGCGCCGGGTCTCATCTGCAGACCACAACCCGTGAATTATTCAACCAAAAGCGAGCAATCTCCGCTGATGCATCCTTGTCTGGTGCAGAATTCCAAATCCATAACACTGAAGGGAGACAGAAAGCACTGTGCGCTAGTGCCAATGCTTCTCCGTCTCGAACTCTTATCAATTAAGGAACCGCAGTTTTTGTCCTGGAGAAATAAAACAATTTGAGAAGATTTTTTACTGCTAGCTCGATCTCCAATGTATATTACATATGACCTTACCCGTAAATTGGCATCACGTGCAATTACCACAATTAAATATTGTAGGTCCTCGACTAGATTTGGACCTATGCTGTTTTAGAGAAGAAAGCAGCGTCCAGCCCAGGAACCGCCTGTTTTTGAACTCCCAACACTAGCGTCTTTTATATGGAGTTTTACGCAGACGATGACAACCACATGTCAATAGATCATGAGGCCGCAAGATCAACTGTCGTGACAGGGTCTTGTGTAGTTAAGGCTAAACCAAGTACGTCAGCAAAAATGAAATATAATTCCAAACCTGAAGGGCTGATCGCACCGAAGTCGTGCGGAGCAACGACCCAAGCTTCCAAGTCACAGCATGTTTGACGGGACTCGGTCACATATTGAGCTTTTATGGATCTGAACTCCTCGCCAGAGGCGACAACCGTGTGAGCCACGAACTATTCAAGTCATTGTTTTCTGCCCTTCAATCAAACAAACATAAAGACTTTCCTGGCGTTTATTCAGTGCTGATGATTTTTCTTGCTAAATAAGATAGCCCCACGGAGAGTGTCAGATAACCATTATTACTGGCGCTAGTGTCGACGAGCCAAATTGCCTTCGAGCTCAAACGGACGACGAAAGCCGGTAGATAGTCAAAAACGTAATCACGTGTCATGAAAATGGAAGAGGACATTTTGGTCGGCACACAGCAGCTGTATACCGTCTGCATTCTACAGCATTTTGGCTGGTGAAACAATAATCATACAATTTTTCACTATGCATTCTGGAGCTGCCATATATGACAGGCAACTATATTGTATGATTACGGCGAAGTCTGCTCAATGCAATACCCTATTCTGAGAACGCATCTGATGGTGAATTTGATTCAAAATCCAAAACATCGCACCAGTAAAGTTCTTGTGCTAACGAAGGCCTCTTTTTTCGTGGTTTTGACGATTACTAGGCTTATCTTTGCACTATCAGCTATGCGTGTGTGGTTCGTGTTTCTGGTAACACAGTACATTTATGTCATTATTTGTTGAGGAAAAGCAGCAGATGTCCGAAGCAGCTCCGAAGTAATTTTTCAATAGCGCAGACATGACCATTAAACGACACACTTCAAGTTCCGTATGGTCAACTTAGTAACCTTGAGCGATCAATCATAAATTTCCTTCGCGGCCTTTCCGTAGTCGTAGAGCCTCAGTCGTCACATTTTACTCCGAAATGTCGACTCTGCGCAGGGCTTCGCGTTTTTCACTCGACAAGGAGTTGACGCCTAAGACCTTGGTATTAAAATATTTTTCACCATAATAATTTGTTCTACATCAGTTTTCTCACTTACAAAAAGCTATAAATGGACAAGAGACTCCTCCAAAATCTAAACATGTTCGAGCCATAATCCTTGAAACATTCAATCAGAAGTCATCATTCTTCCTTTATTCCGTTATTCCCGAACTTCAAGTTACGACTAATGAGGTCGCTTGCTGGAAGTTTCTGATTGTTTTACATAAAGTGCTAAGAAATGGTTACGAAGAGGTAAGTCTGTTTGAGTGTCCTTACTCCATTCAGGCTTTAAAATATGACTCAAGAAAGATCAATGTCTTAAGCGGTTTGAGGCAAACATGGGTAAAGCTGTCGTTTGTTTGATTAAAAATTTAGGAAATGTTGCCGGGGAGATTTTGCTTGCTAAATTGTGATTTGATTAAAGTCATTTTACAAAAGCTCGCCTTTCACAGACGGGTATGTCGCCTATAATTTTTTGAACTCTTCAGTTTCCTATTATTCCTGGTGATTTACAAATTAATATAAACAGCCTACTGGACTACGTGGGGCGGACACCCGACAATCAGTATGTTTTGTCTAGTTTTTATTTTCGCATTCATATTCATTTTTTTATATTATTCCCTGTATAATTTTCTTCCTCCTCCTTCGCCCCTAAACTATTGTTTTCTTTCCGTTTCTAAATAAGTGCGAGCCCTTGGATAAATTTCGAATACGTCATCTTAATACGCTTTTTTCTCTTCTCCGTTCCAAGCGTTTGGAATCGTTTTCGTCACTTATCTTTTTACTTTATCCATTTCCATTTTACGCCGTGATATGTCCTACTCAAAATTCCCAAGGAGTTCCTGTGCTTTCTACGTGTTAAGGTAATGTTTTTCACTTGAGTATTATTACAGCGATTACATGTCAAGGGATTGAGCAGTGGGCTCGATGCGACGAACCTCAATCCTTTAGCATGTCACATTTTCCCCCTGTTAATTACAAAACGCATCGACAGGGAAAAACTCCGTTG